GAGTGGGAGGAGGAGGAGGAGGGAGGAGGAGGAGGAGGAGGAGGAGGAGGAGGAGGAGGAGGAGGAGGAGGAGGAGCTGTCGCACCAGCACTGCGCCGCAGAACCCCGTCGCCTGCTTGGAGTGCGCTCTTGTCTGCGCCCACACCAGCAACGCTGCGCTGGAACTGACCGACGACCTGCCGTTTGCACCCAAAGAAGAAGTTGAAAACAAGTTGGCTGTCGTCGTCACCGCGCCGGCGCTGCCTGCGCCAGCCGACGCGCAACTCCGACTCGACACGGCCAGGCCCGCCAGCCGCGACACCAACGCCGAATGGGCGGACACCATCACGCCAGAAATGGTCCAAAAACCCGTGCCCACGGCCGCCCACATACCACCGCACGCTCGCGGGGTGGTGGGTGCCATCATAACAGAGCACACGAAGGCTTTCGCCCACGAGATCCACCACGGCACCACGGAGTCCATCACCAAGGCGGCCGAGCGTTGGTTCATGCTGCCTAAGCTGCTGCTCGGGCGCGCCAACCTCCGAGGCGGCAAGAGAGGCAACGCCCAGCTCACCCCTACGCTGTTCCGCCGGGCCTCGGAGATCAGGGAGCACCGCGAAACTCAGCTTTGGGACGCCGTCCTAGACTGCGCCCCATTCCTTTTGCGCGCCAGGCGGAAGACTACCGCCGAGCACGACGTTATCACGGCAGGGAGGAGCGGCCGGAGGCCGCGGAGCGCCCGGAGGGGCGCCGAGCCGGCCCGGCGCGCGGGCGGGCGCGCCAGGGCCCGCGCCGCGAGACCCGCTTGCGGACCGCCGCCCCGGGGCCCTCCTCGGACCCGAAGGCCCCGGGGCACCGAGGGAGGAGGAGGAGGAGGGGGAGGAGGAGGAGGAGGAGGAGGAGGAGGAGGAGGAGGAGGAGGAGGAGGAGGAGGAGGAGGAGGACGAGGAGGAAGCGGAGGAGGAGGAGGAGGAGGAAGAGGAGGAGGAGGAGGAAGAGGAGGAGGAGGAGGAGGAGAAGGGCCCCCTTAATGTCTGGACGCGTTCCCCGGGGACTGGACACGTTCCCCGCTTTGGTGGACGGCCCCGGGGCCCGCCGAGGTCGCCCAGGTGCCAACAACCCCTCCCGAACCTCCTCGGGTTGCAAAGAAGTCGCGACGACACGTCGCTATTTTCGGACTCTGGGGGGCGTCACAAACGACCGTGGATGAAAAACCAGTCCCGGAGAAGGGGTCCAGACCTCTGGGGGTCGGCGTTGCAAAAAAAAATCACGACGTCGGGGGTCTGGGTTTCCGTCGCTGGGGAAACCGCAGGGTACCAATACCGCTACTCCCTGGACCTGTCCTGGGGTGCGTTCTGACCATACTTTCGTGGCGACGCCAAGGCCTCCCGGGGGCCCAGACAGGCGACAACGAGGGCACGACAACGGTAGGGGCACTCCCGGGCCACCCTGCCTCAGCTGCCGCCGCCACCGCCCAGGCCAAGGGCCGTGACGCCGCTAGTCGCGAGCGTCTATCACGGCTCGATTTAAGTTGGGCATGTCCTCCTACAAGCGGATTCGGGGCGAAAAATACTCCGACGGAAAGGCCCCGCATGAAAATCCTTTTTCGGCGAATCTGGAAATCACCTTCACTGTCGTCCTCGCGATTAGTGATGCGCACTTCTTGTCTTCTCTGCGCCATTATCATTGTCGCTGTGGCGCAGGGCCCTCGCCCGCTCCCCGCGTTGCCCTTGCCTCGCCTTCCTGGTGCTTGTTTCGTCGCCCACCACCTCCTCTCCTGTCTATTGCAAGAGCGCGCGCGCTGATTTTCCTCGACGCCGTCGCCGCCTCGGCCAGCGCGGGCGTATTCTGGAATGGCCGCGTCGCGCGGCCGTTGGGACAACCCCTCGGGCCACGCCGTTGGGGCAACCGCGCGAGCCGCTGGGGCGCGGGAGCAAGCCGTTGGGACAACCCCGCGGGCACCGAGCTACTCACCGCCGCGCTCAGACGGGAGGCAACACGAACCCAAGCTCAACGGCGAGCTGCTCGGCCTCATCCCTGGAGCTCTCCGCTTTCCAATCGGATTCCTCAAGCGCCTTCCGCAAGGACGCCAGCGGCCCGCGCCCCAGCCCGGACGCAAGGGTTTCCCCCTGCGCCCGGCCGCCGTCGTCGTCCTCACCTCCTGTTCCTCCTCTTCCTCCTCACCTGATGGGTCGGGCGAATCGCCCTCTGAAGAGCGCATGGGGAGGGGGTTCCCGCCTGAAATGTCCTCACCACTCACTGACGAGGCTCCCGCCTGATACTTCCTTCACATCCAGTCCTCGGGAGCTCCAGAATGACAACAGTTACAGGGTTGAGGATGACCCGCTCGAATTAGAAACATGAAGTGCGGGCCCAATAGGGAGGGGGTTCCCGCCTGAGCCTTCCTCACCACTCACTGACGAGGCTCCCGCCTGTTAGTTCCTGCATCTTAAAGCGTCAGGAGCCCAAGCTTGACGACAGTTACAGGTTCGAGGATGACCCGCTCGGATTAAAAAACCATGAAGTGCGGGCCCCATAGGGAGGGGGGGTCCCGCCTGGGCCTTCCTCACATATCACTCACAGACGAGCCTCCCGCCTGATAACGCTTCCATGTTCAGGCCTCATGAGCCCAAAAAGTGACGACGGTTACAGGTTCGAGGATGACCCGCTCGGATTAAAAACATGAAGTGCGGGCCCCATGAGGAGAGGGCTCCCGCCAGAGACTTCCTCCCAAGTCACTCACAGACGAGGCTCCCGCCTGATACCTCCTCCCCCATGTTCAGGCCTAAGGAGCCCAAAAGTGACGACAGTTACAGGTTCGAGGATGACCCGTTCGGTTAAAAAACATGAAGTGCGGGCCCCATGAGGAGAGGGTTCCGCCTGAGCCTTCCTCGCAGTTCACTCACAGGCGAGCCTCCCGCCTGATACTTCCCCCATATTCAAGCTAGCGAATGAGTGGGTGGGTGAGTGAGTGAATGGATGACTGAATGAATGATGCTTATGAAAATGATGGAAATGATGAGTGAGTGGGTGAGTGGGTGATGGAGTTATGGTCAAGGTGATCAAAATGGTATGTGTGAGTGAATGTGAGTGTGTGACGGATGACGATGATGATTGTGATGGTGATGAGTGAAAGAGTGAATGGGAGTGAATGAGTTACTGAGTGAGTGAGTGACGGTGATGATGCTACTGATGTTGGTGATGCTACTGATGTTGATGGTGATGAGTGTGTGTGTGACTGATGGCGACGTGATGACTGAGTTGGATGAATGAATGAATGAGTGAATGATGATGGATGGTGAGTGAGTGAGTGAGTGAGTGGGTGATGATGTAGTGTGTGTTCAGGTTCCTGCGTAGGGTGTCCAGAGAAAGCAAGACTCCCATTTTGGATGTGGGGAATTAAACATGGTCAGAAAATCTGCAGGAATTGCAGCAAACACGAAACACGTCCCAGCAATAGTTTTCAATTATTTATGAATGTTCCTCCTGTGGGGGGGCACGCCCGACTTGAGGCACGATTACAACTTGCCCACGAACCCACCTGCGGTGGCCGTCAATCCCGCCCGCAAGCCACCCCACCATAAAGATCATCTCTCCCCTCGGGAGCGTGCCTGGGCCCCGAGAGATCACACGGGCACCCGCCCACCAGGGGCCGGCGCCCCGGGCGCCGGCGGGCGCCCTCCCATGGCCCCTCAGAGGCCACGCGACGTGCGAGGGGCGACTCGCTTCGGCCCAGCCCGCCGGCCACCGGGGGAAGGACGCGGCAGACCTCGACAGCTCCTCCTCCTCCTCCTCCTCCTCCTCCTCCTCCTCCCTCCTCCTCCTCCTCCTCCTCCTCCTCCTCCTCCTCCTCCCTCCTCCTCCTCCTCCTCCTCCTTCCTCCTCCTCCTCCTCCTCCTCCTCCATCTCCACCCGCCGGCCACTGGGGGAAGGACGCGGCAGACCTCGACAAGAGCCATACAAAATCGTCTGCACGAGGACCCGTGCACTCCCAAGGTCGTCGGCCTTCCCGCTCAGACGGCCCCCGGATGGCCTCCAGGAGGGCCAAGACGGCCCCCAGGACGGCCACGGTGGCTCCAAGAGAGCCCAAGATGGCCCGAAGATGTCTTCAAGACGGGCCTTCGCTGGAGCTCCCTGCGGGGCCACGAAGCGTGCGAGGAGTGTGCCGAACCTAGAACAATAATAATAATAATAATATAATTAATAATAATAATACTAATACTAATAATAAGGATAATAAAAATAACAATGCTGACAACAATGATACTCATAATAGTAAAGATAATAAGAATAATACTACTAATAAGAAGGATCATACTATACATAAGAATAACAACACTGCATCAATACCAACTTTCGGCGCTCCGCGCGGATTTCTTGGATCTGCGGTAGAAACCTCTCCCTGGCGCGCTCCGCGCGCCAGGGGCGGCGCCAGAGGCGCCAGGGCTGGGGCCCCAGCGCAGATCCAAGACATCCGCGTGGAGCTCTGGCAATCTATGCTTATGCCGTTGTTCGGAGGTGGACAACCCCCCCCCTTTAGCAAACCACCCTCTAGTGAAAACGGCCTGGGGCCGAAACCGACGGACCTGGATCCCCACAAAAATGGATGACGGCCGCGACGCCCTGCGAAGACGGCCAATTCGCTAATCGACGTGTCAGGGCTGGAAATCCCACCAGCCCTTTGGGCGTGAGTGATTTAGAGAGCCCGCTCTGTTCTCAACCCTCCTTCTTCCCCTTCGGGGAGGGGTTTACCCCTCCCCCTACCCCCTCCCCCTGGGCCTGGAGAGGTCCTTTCGCGGGTCGTTGGAGGGGTCCTTCTTGACTCCTCGGAGGGCACACGCCTGAAAAACACGACTGTCGGCATGCTTCGCAAGAGTTGCTGTTGTGAGATGGGCTGGTGGGGATACGCGAAGCGTAAAGAATGTATCAACCTCCGATTGTCTTCTTCGAGAACCAGGAGGGGAGCCGCGTGCGAACTGCGCCACTGGGGCCCTCGGCCCCGCCGCCCCGCGCAGAGCCGTCCGGCGTGAGGCCCCACTCGGGCAGCAGCGTGGCGTACACGGACAGCGCCAGCGCCTCGAACGCCTCGAAGAACGCGAGCATGTCGGGGTGGCCCTTCTTCTTGCGCTCGGGGTGC